TCATGAAAACAAAAGAAACTCGCAGAACTAGCATAAGTGATAAGCAATGACTGTTATGGAGAGCCGTCACTGTTAAAAAAACAACAATTGAAAATTACATATAGGAGTGCAATTATTGACTTTGTCTTGATTAAAAATGGGTTTTAAAAGGTTTAATTTCTCGTCTCCGCGACGCGAAGCTCGGTCCTTACAAATAAACGGCGGTTCGTATCTTTTACATTTATTATTTACCAACCGAGCGTGAAGTTTATCAGAAAGCATTTTCGTGTTTTCGCCAAACGAATGCAATTAAAATGTCGCAATAAGGCCTCGTGACGGGTGTTATTGTTTCTTTGACTTTAATACGCGCGAAATAGTGTCCATTTTCTTTAAATAATCTTTCCTCTTATATAAATAATATGTACCTACATCGACAAAGAATTACTATATGGATATAGCTTTTGTTGAACATTTTTATCGAACTTACATGGTTCAACGTGAAGTTATTATATTCCACCTAAATAAAAGTGTCTCTACTGTTACATAACGTCGTAACCACCCATGTTACATCATGTAAATACTCATAATTCATGCTAATATTCTCGTTCGTTTTACATGGAATAGTTTAATAATCCAGGTGCGCACTCCACGACCTTTAAAGCCACTCCAATCCACTCCATTGGCATTTTCAACAATCCTAATGTTTTAACGTTTTATACAGCAACATATCACTGTATATAGGCTTTGTGGCTTTATTTAAAATAATTGTCATATTTATAGTGTTTTTTACCGGTTGAGAAGGACAGACAAATTTGGAATGTAATACATGGAGGGTGAAATGCCTGTTTTGGCTTTGGATTTTCGGAAATGCACAGTCTGACCTGTTAAGCGCAATGATTTCACGGCTTATTCAAATGTACAGCACCATTGTTACCATCCGTTGTATATCTAGACGTCTAGACAATTCGAGACAAGGTTCCAGAAAAATTATAATGTTTCTAGAAAAATCTTCGATGGGAATTGAACTCCCAACTGATTATTAGTTACAGATTGCTAGCAATGGGCCGAACGAGCCTACATATAAAGAAAGAGACAAATAAGGACATTCTTCTATTACATCAAACGAAGTCTAATAGGTGTTTCCTTATCAAGCAGTGAGAGTTAAAAAAAAACATAGCTAAATAATACAAAGTGTACCTACGGACGCTATTCAAAACCATTAAATAAAAATTATAGTATGTACTTCTTTACACAATGGCCCTTTTGTAGTGTTGCCATTGTACATAACAGAAACAATAAAATATTTATTCAATTCTAAAAGTTTGAAGACACTTGGGCTATGTGCCGTGCGCTAGGGCGAAGCAATTGGTTTCAACAAACAAAGAAAGGGGGAAATGTGGAGAGCTTTTAATTTGCCGCTGTTCAGTTGGCTGTGAACGAGTGTGTTCGTGCTTTCAAATATTTTTCTATTGTTTTAATTATTGGCACACCTTGGGGCTGTATTGGGGAAGTTTTGTTTTGTCAATGTGTAGATCGCGTGAAGCCTTGGAATATCGCACTAAAATTTAATATTAGTCTATTACTTAAGCTAGACCAGCGTTATTGTAATGTACCTAATATACATATAAAGTTTCTACAAATTGATCTCGCAGTGACAGTTTAGTGACGGCGTTTATCTATGGAAACCATAGAAGTGGGAGCGATCAAATTAGAGACATTTGTAGAGAAAACAGTGGAACAATATGGAAGCCGCAGATGTGGATGAAGGGAAGCCGTGGGAGCAATCAGCTCACAAACAAACACTCCCGCACTGTTTATATTCATATACCGTTTACCACTTTATTTAATTAGTGAGGTGTTTACTATATTGAAGATTGTAATATGCCGTGCCATGGGTTGAAAAATTTGATAATTCCTAATTGATTCCTAAACAAGACATAATTAAACAATTAGAAAAGTTTTTATAGGTATGTTCTTTTTACTTAGTCTTAATATAATTGGAAGAAGAGAAGGAAGTTTGCTGGCATTCATTATATTTCCGTACCTTCTGAGGCACATATTTCTCTACTAGTGTTTTTTTCGATCATTTCTTGCCTACGCTTCCGGCGTCTAACCGACGACCCCTTCGAACACCGACTCAATCCGTTCATTTACAAAAGGTCCCCAAAAGTATCGCACTCGACGAAAGGCATAAAAGCGTGTCTATAGCCCTCCTCGGCTGGAACATTTTCCGGTGGTGAGAGGCCATCCGACGTGGCTACAATATTAATCAATATTTCAACAACATTGGCTCGCGAGAGAAGGGCCCTCGCGGAGGCAGCTACCTTGCTTACTCGTCTTTCGTGAGAGGTCTCGAGACGTCGCCATTGTCTCGCCCACTTCTATCTTCGAGCTAATTTTGTATTTACCGGAGGAGGATTTATGATCACTTGAATTATCTGAGGCGCCGAATTCGAGGGATGAGGCTTATCGTCACGACAGTATTTAACTTCTGTTACCCGATCAGTAGTCACTGTCATAATATAGTTTTCTTTCTTCTCTGAATAGTTTTTCGTTGGATTAAAAATTGAGATACTCAATATCTTTAAGAGAAATCTGTACGTAGTCCAGTCTTGAAACAATGAGCGCATTTTAATTTGTTTAAAAACGATGATGAGGAGAGGATCAGCTCGCGAGGCGAGTAGTGCCCTCAGCCCGCCGCGCCAGTTGGCACGTAATTGCTCCAATCGGCGCGAAAACACGCGCGTATTTATTTATTTACTTATTTATTGTAACGACTAGCGGAGGGCGTAAACTGCTACAAATGGATTTCTCTTTTTGCAAACACTTCGTTTGTTTGCACTTTATTCGGCTCCATTGGTTTTTATTTTTAATAATACATACGCACATATTTAAGTTGCCCCGTTCAACCTGGCAAAGTTGTCAAAAGCTAAAACACATTTTTGGTGCTCAAACCAATTTTAACCGACTGTAAATAGAATCCAAAATGAAATATTTGTAAATTGTAGTAGAGTAAATATGGCGTGCTCTTCATGTTTATCTTTATGTTCAGGCTGTATTCAAAGTACGAGAACAATTATAGATGGCCAAAATATGACAATTTGCGTCGTCGTAGCAAAAATCGGAGGGTGGTGTCGTAGTTAAATATTTGTGTGGAGGCAACACTGACGACGCTCAGCGTGAACAAGGATTTCGCTACAGACACCCTATTTTCTAAATTATGAGGACAAAGTTTTGCTGTTCAGTGTATCTATTATCAAGGCAAAGATAGTAATAGACAGTTTACACATTTTGCTCTGTTTACGGAGTGTGGGCAACGTTATTTGTTATATTTCTCGGTTTATTCCGACTATCACTTAGCAGCCTTATTGAATGCAATCGTAATATTGAATCAAACATTATTCGTGTAAGTTTATAAAATAACGCGTTTTTAATAATATTCTTGTCCAAGAAGAAGAAAAATCACGGTGGTCCCAGCGTTGGCGCAGTGATTGGCTCAATCGTACAGTAAACACGCGCGCGGTCACACTGCGCTCTGCTATTGTTCTACATTTACCGACATACTATGAATTCTCTATATACTTATATATGTCTGGATATTACGATAACAGAGGTATAAAGGGTGATTTCAAAAAATATTTCATTCTTTATTTGAGTAATTTTAATGTCTTTAGTTTTATTTGTCCCTTAATCGTCTGTATCATAATAAAAGCATAATATGTATTTTTAGCAAAAAAAAATAATTACTTAATGTTTTCAGCTTAGCAGCTTCTTTCTGCATTTTATTTTGATCAGTGCAGTTTGGCCAGTTCTACTCGTTCGTTGAAATATATATATAAATGGCAGAGATAGTTTTTTTTAAATATTAAATCCAATTCACGTTAAACAGATTTAAGGCAATTTATTTTTTTATTTAGCTGTGTGTATATTACCTACATATCTATGTAGATACATATTTACTAATTGCCCTGAATACTGAAAAGGTATCTAGATATATATCTAGGTTCATCTAGGTAAGGTAAATTAAGAAGTTATTACCTAACCTAAATAAATTAGCATCATAAGAGAATCGCAATAGGCATTTCGGCGCATTTCTCTTCGAAAGCTCACCCTAAGCACTACATTCGCACACATAGTATAATGTTTGTATGCAAACAGTACAACAAAAGCTGACTCTATATTTTGCAGTCACGTAAGAAGGCGTGGCAGCGAGTGGGCGGGGCGCTCTATATTTATGCCTAGAGGCTAGACGAGTTCTATTAATATCTGGAGGTTGAAGCCAGATTGTCGAGATAGCGCGCGTAACTTTGAACAATTACTACTTGTATGTTATGATTTCACTTTGACTGATTAACACCGTGTTCTTGGTAATTGTTTCGTAATTATTGCGAGTCGCACCGCTAACGCTCTTATCATTCTACTTAATATACGATTTCTAAAAAATTAAAACTAGCGGTAGCGATAATCGTTCCTCGAGATGAGAGAGCAGTCTACGACATAAATCATTGACGATTGAGAACGAAACTCAATTAAAAAATGTATTAGTATTCCGAACTCCTCATTCAATTACCAAAACGCCGAACGCAACGAGGCGTTTAATGACGACGCAAATAACGACATCTGCCATTATAATAGTCGCAATAAGTGATTTGTCACAAATCGCAACCATTATAAAGCGAGCGGATTAATGATCGCGAATATCATAAGAACCGGTCGAAGCCTAAACACGATAAAAAACAATGTTTGCCGAGAGAGGCAGATCTGGTTATGTCGTAACGTAACCCTAACGCGACACCGCAAAACGTTGACCCCCGAAGGCGCGAAGGAATTCGCGCGAAACTCGCATTTACCGGGCAGCCATAGGGTGGTCCCCAGGTGCATACGTAAATCGGTAGCCCCGCGTGCGTTTCGCGATCGAGACGGGCGGGGTCTTCGCCTGGGCGGGCCGAGAGGCGGGGTCTCCGTGACCAGTTGCGCGTCGGGCTTAGTCGAACGCGAGCGGCTCGCAATGCCGCACAGCTATGAGTCCACCGAGCTTCGCCATACGAGACCTTCTACCGGAAGCCTCGTCCCGATCCCCGTCGCCCTCGGACGTGGAGCTAGACGTCACGGGAACGGAGACCCCGCCGCCCTGCTCCTCCCGGACCCCGGACGAGAAGAAGAGCGAGAAACCGGCCTACAGCTACAACGCCCTCATCATGATGGCTATCCGCAGCAGCCCCGAGAAGCGGCTCACCCTCAACGGCATCTACGAGTACATCATGAAGAACTTCCCCTACTACAAGGAGAATAAGCAGGGTTGGCAGAACTCGATTCGGCACAATCTTAGTTTGAACAAGTGTTTCGTGAAAGTGCCGAGGCATTACGACGACCCGGGTAAGGGGAACTACTGGATGCTGGACCCGTCCTCCGACGACGTGTTCATCGGGGGCACGACGGGCAAGCTGAGGCGGCGCTCCACGGCAGCTTCCAGGTCTAGGCTGGCGGCGTTCAAGCGCGGCGCAATCTTACATCCTATGTTCGGCAATCCCTACGCGTCGCTCGTCGGACTTTACCCCCCCTTGTTATCGGTGTACGGACGGTACGCTCTCCCCGGTCCGCTGCTACGACTGCCGCCGCCGCCGCCGAACCCCTACCACCAGCTGTACCGGCGGATCCACGGGTTGGCGCCCTCGGTGAGTCCGCCGGAGGAACCCGACATAAAGCATAGTTGATTTAATTTATTTTCGCCCGATATCTCCGAGATATCCGGCCGAAAACTCGAAGTGACTGTGATAGGACATTTATAATATTCCCTAGTAATTGTACAGTGGTATTTATTTATTGATCTAAGATTATATTTAGAGGCTAAGATGTCGATCGACTCGATTCTGCATTATTTATTGTAATATTTGTTAAGTAGAACTAAAACTTAAGGATTATGTGAAAAATAAAACATTCATGAGAACATTTCGTCTTTCTTTTAGTACATAGATACTATTTATCCGTACTCATAGATACTTAGACTTAGGAAGGAACTATAATAGTACATTATGATATAAAAGTGCGGTGAGTTGAAAATTACAGCCGAGGCGATATTACAAGCCCGAGTCATCGACAAGGGCTATAAGAAAGCAGAGGCTGTAATTTTCAAAGTGCAAATATGTCATACGATATTTTATAACATATTTACAAGGAAATTAATTAAACTCTAACTTAGTTAAACGAATAAATCTTTAATTAATTGTTAAAGCAGTTGTAAAAATTTTTACTTGTCCACAAATAAGCGATGCGCACGCATCAACGTTTTTTTTAGGCAAAGGTACGAAAACAGCCAGTATTACTAATAAAGTAAATTAATATTTTTGTGTTTTTGTTATAGACAAATGGTTGTCATTTATTGTCAAAATTAATTAAATTAGAGAATTAAATGTTTATATGTTACATTTTATTTCCCAAAGTTAATTTTATTCATAAAATATTGACCACTTTCTTGACATAAAACCTCTTTAAATACTGTCTATAGTTTACGCGAGTAGTACACATTTAAATAAAACACTTTAACGGTTTAAAACGCGATATATTAGTCTATATATGTTTTACATTTTATTCTACGGCTGCTCAAAGCATCCGAAACGTTATTCATAAAATCATTTTCAGATAAGTTAACTAAATATCGCGTTTTAACTAAGTGTTTTATTGAAATAAAACCTCTTTGCTAAGTAAAAGTATCGTTCATTTTTAGACGGAGTATCTTAAAACTTTATTTAAAAAAAACACGTGCCTTTTACATTACATTATCGCACAAGTACGTAATGAGAAACATTACGATATTGAAATTGGTGTAATTACAACCACTTTACGAGCAAATTTGTTATAAATGTATTTACAAATACGCAAATTTCTAGTTCAAGAAGTATGTAACACATATTGTTGTTCTTATAATGGACGTAGCAAGCTCAACAACTAGATGGCGCTACATTATTGGATTAAAATTCAGTGTATCAAATTATTTTCCAACCTTAAAAAATATTAACAAAGTATCCGAGAACACGTAATATTTATATCTCATGGAAACAAAATCTCTGATGTCTTTATCTAATTCAATACAATTAGAAAGGTAGCCAATATTAAGGTTTCATTAAACGAAAGATTAGTAAACAACGTAACAATTAACTCTTGACAGGTTAAATACCAAGATAATCTTAACAAATTGGTTGCATAACTAATTAAAGTGAGATGTATGTAGTATTATGTACTATTACCTGACTATTTTTCTATAAAGGATCCATAGAAAAAATCGAATTACTTAGGTTTATAAAAAATTGACGTAAAACTTTTACTGTTGGGCAGGAGACGGACATATTGCTATAAGACGGAGTAGCAACCAGTAGGTACCAATACGCCCTATTTCACGGCCAAAGAAATTATTCAAATATTCCTCTTTAATTATAAGCCACTGATTTATCTGGAGTTTAAAGGCGTTTTTATCGTTGTTAGAACAATAAATCTGTATCAAATTGTGTGTGGCGAATCCGTTAATAACTTAATCAATTCATTATAAAAAGTTTCCATTTATTGTCTCTATTTATTATTTATTAATCCCAGCTTATAGTCGCGTACTTCGACAGAGATGGATGAAATTACTTTCCGATTGAGTCGTTATTAGTTGGGTTAGGTTGCCAGTTAGGGTTATCAAAAATGTATCGAAATTTTATACCACTTAGTACGGTCTCAACACCGCCGACAGACTTCGTGCTTAAGCTCAACACAGTAAGAAATAGGAATTAGGTATTTACGAGTAATTAAAAAATAGATGGTTTTTGTGAGGTATTGTGGCAGCCCTACGATGTATTTGATAAATTGGAAAATAATATTCAGTATATTGTAATTCCGTCGATTAGTTTAATCGCTTTAAACGTGGAAGTGAAGTGATCGTCTAATATTCTTAGATTCGGTTGTTTTGTGGACGAACAATTTGTTGTTATAAAAGGTGCTAAATGCGTACGCCCAACGTTCGAACATTTAAACTGCATGATAAGATTCATGTTTAATTTAGTAGCTATTTCGATATAACGAAACAATGATAGATGTAATAATACTATATATTTCTTTATGTTTATCGAGAACCAGTAAATTATATTTTATTGCTCTTTAAAGTTTCGCTCCGGAGGTGTGCGTGTGACAAAAATGAAAGCTCGAGCGATGCCAACAAAAACATGTCGCGATAAACGTAACCGCTCTAATCCCCGTAACCCCGGCCATCTCTCATTCGACACAAAACATCTTGCGTCTAGAAATATTGTGAAAAGCTGCTCTATAAATCACGCGCCATCTTGTTCCCGCGCGTTTTCCCGACCGCAGACAATCGACCATAAACAAGAGAGTTGTTAATCCACAGATTATAGTGAAGCGACGCGAACGGTGCTCGGCGGTATTTTTTGTAAATAATTGTAAATCTATGTCAAAACCCAACGACAAATACACATGTTAGGGGCTTACCGCGTGGATTAACCCGTTTCTTGCTGTTTTATGTTGCGCATTTGGTTCCCGAAGTGACGACTAGCCGACGGATCGCTCTAATCTTCCTTTAAATACGGCACCATTGGGATGCTCGCTCTTAAATAGGGCTTGGATTGTTTTTATTTTGTCTCGCACCTTTCTGTTTACCAGGAAAACAGATGTAAGTAATAACGGAACCGAAAACTTATTTTGTAGACTTTATTTATGTTACCTCTATATGTTTTGATATCGCAAAATATACGCCGCGATTTTAGTACTGAGACTTTCTTTACAGTTTCGAGGAACTCATACAACAATGTCTATTGAAAGAATTGACATTTATCCGAAAATATTTTAATATTATTATGACAATTGCATTCATAGCTAATCCGCGCGAAAAACGGATTACGGACATAGAACGCTTACATAATACGAAATATTTATATTCTAGTCCAGTGTGCGGCTATTAAAAAGGCTGGGGTTAGACACACACATTTGTTTTATTATTTAAACTAAAAGATACTTAGAGGACTGTAAGATATGCATAAGATATTCTAAATGATTATTATTTTTATTAAATACATACATATAACTGACATAAAATATATTTCATTTACAGAGACCAACGACGACCCGGTTACAAGGTAAGTTACATACAATTCTAGTTACTTTAAGAGCCTATTTCTTTCTTAAACATTTGGCAACACTTAGTACTAAGTCATTCGCGAGAGACAAAGCTGTATCATATTTATTTCTTCCAGCATTTAGTGGCCACAACAAACTCAGTTTGTACACATTTAGTTTATTTGTCCACATTGCTGATTTCAATGCGTTTACCCTTTTCTGATGTTTTTATAACAATGTGTACAAAGGATTTAATCCTTGTGTAGTCAGGAAGTTTGTCATTTTATGGAGAATAGAAATTGAATCAAATAATACATTATGATGAAGGAAATGATAACCAGCAACTTGGCCTGGATTAGTGCAGACGCAGTAATTGCTTGACCACGATTTGTGATTCAGCGAATGTGAATAAATATTATGATTTATAATTATTTACTTGCACCTGTCGGGACTCACTGAGGTCTCACAAATAAAGGTACGACAAACACGATTTCGGTAGGTTTGCGATATTTCGATAGGCCAAAGTAAACCTTTAAGATCTGATTTAGTCAAAATAAAAATTCTAACTCAACTAATCTGAAGCGAGACTCTCCAACAGACCTGCCAAAATAATGTACTGCAGAAGATCAAATAAAATAAATTGCTTCTTATTAAACAAACAAAGCAAAGCAAAGCCAAAGAAAGTGTTTATACAACAATACACATGTGGATACAGCTAATGCTTCGAACTCACTCTGATCTCATCTCATAACATTACCGCGAACTTATCTTTCGTCTAATACTTTGAATTAACCGACGACGTTAAGTTTACGTTCTTAGATTCGGGCGCATCTTACCTAAATAATAACACTATATCAAGCGGGTTAAAACGCGAATTATATTTGAATGTGTAAACTTTAAGCACGATGTTCAGAGATTTTTTAAATCCGTTTCAGTCCTTCGGTAGAGGCCTTCTCACTATTTCCATACTAGAGTACGAAATTAGTTTTTTTTTAATATTGTTTGTTTTGTGGTATGTATTATAAATAATAACGCTGTAATAAATAAATAATTACTTTGTAGAATAGGCACATGCATTACTTACACTAATAAACATACTGTTCAGAATAAATTGATTCCTATTAGTGCGCTAGATGAATAATATTTTATCAGATTTAAAGTGAATTACCACACGGTGTACGGAATATGGCTTGATGATTTTTGTATCGATCATAAAATGGTGGAATCTCGTTGATGTTAATTTTAAATCGCCACCGGTTGTGTATAACACGCCTTCGATTCCCGTGAACTTTGTTACTTGTTAGCAATGTTTCATCGGAAGGTGTTTAGTTGTTTACCGCGTGGTGATGTAACAAGAAGCAGCCGACGGCGACATCAAAGAACTTTGCGCACAGATCAAAGCGAGCGCCGACTCCGCAGACTATTATCACCCGTTGGGAAGAATAAAGTTAGGTACCTTGCCATGAAAATTGTTTTTTTTTTAATTAGTGTCTTGACATAAATCACTTATTTTAGCTATCGATTTTTTTACTACAAGTTAGCAGGTGTCACCATGACATTTCATTAATAACAAAACATTATCTACGATTAATTTAGTCTGGGGACAGAT